TTAATTTTTTTATTATTCTTAAGTTTTTTTTATTTCAGCTTTCTTCGTTACTTTTCTGCCTAATTCTTTGAAGGTGTGCAAAGTTTCTACTCAATTACGTATTTCATGCCTTAAGCCTAATTCCTCACAACTACTTACGCTAATTCAATTATTATTATTTTTTTATTGTTATTGTTACGTGTTTTTTATCTGCTACGCATCATTTATTTAATTTCATTTAATTTTTTTTTCACATTATTTATTTATTATTATTTTTTTGTTTAACTTGAATGCCTTTTAATGCCGCACAGACTATTTAATTAATAAATGTTTAGTATTTGTATATATTTGCCTGTACCTGGTTTACTTTGCCAAATACCATTTTTTATTTTCTACTTTTATGCTATTTTATTTATATGTATGCCTATATGTACCATATATATATCATATATTATATATTTAGCGTTATTTCTTTTAGTTTTTCTTATGCTAGATGCTACACTGTAATGCCATTTTTGGTTTGCTATACTTCGCCGTTCGCTTAATACAAATACTTTTTGTGGCGTTCAACAAATATAATATGTATTTTTTTTTGTTGAATTGTTATTAAACATTACTCAGCCTAAATGTTAAATAATAATAATGTCGCAGGCYTTTCATGTTACTTAGCGCTATTTTTCGTGTGCAAGGTTTCTTCCCATTTCTTTTTGTTTTAATTTACTTTGATTTTACCGTTGAGATCAAAAAGATGCTTTGCAGAAAGCTTCCTTTACATTTGTAATCTCTTTATAATTGTATATAATTTTTGCTAAATTTCAATGCTTGATTTAATCTTTATTATATAGCTTCATATATATATATATACTTTTTCATTAACTATTTACAGTTGCGGTGGCAGGGCGTTCACTACTACGGTAAGCTATAATATTATTAACTATTTACACTTTAAACTAAGTATGTATGTATGAAGAGAAGTATTATAAATGGTAAAAATACGTTAAGCGAATAGAGTTTATAAACTAAGCAAACAAAAAAGAAAAGAAAAGTATAATTAACAGAAAAACAACTACTAAACCAGCTTACAGTCTTTCACGGCAAAAGTTACACAAATAATATTCCAAAAAACAGCATTTAAATGCCGTTATTTTCACATAACGCTTCATTGTCTTTCGAGTTTGCAAATGAATAACGCATTTTCTAAGCAAAAATCTTTGAACAAACGAAATTACGCCCAATCGTTCAAGTTCTGCTGCGTGTAAACGCGCTTGACACCACAGATTGCACAATTTTGAGTGACGCATGCGCGGCATACGTGCTTGTTTAGCTTTAAAACAAAACGCCGCCGTAAGCGCACAAGTTGTATTAATAATTCCACACGCTTGCTGCGCCTGCGGTGGTTGGCGCTGTTGTGTTCGTTGTCGGCACGCCGAGCGCCGCGACTTCGTCTTCGTGACTGTGCCGCTGTAGGCGCACCATGCGTAACTTGTCTTCGCTGATTACTTTTAGCTTCTCTTCGCTTGTTGGCGCTGTTGTTGAGAGCGTCGTTGCCTCAGCGTCGCTGTCACAATCTTCCTGCTCCTGTTTAATGCGCACCTCCGGTTCTAGGAAACGCTGTTGCTCCACGTCGCTCTCGCCTACTTCGGTATGTTTATGCGCCTCCGTATTGACATCGGCGTTTTCGTCAGCTTCACTGCGATTAAAATCGGACGGTTGCATAACGCAAACACCATTGATGATGCGTTCTTGTGCGGCTGTTGATTGTGGCATGCCAGCTGCTGTTGCCATTGTCGCGCCAGCAATGCCATTTGTATCGGTGCTTAGGCTTGGACCGGCGGGATTGACCCATTGTGGTGCAGCTGGTTTGCGTCGTGAACTGCGCATATTTGCATTCAGTCCACCCAGTAAGTAGCTGGCTGCGTTGGATAGTGGCGTGCTGCGTGGTGTGCTGGAGCCGCCGTCTTTGTAATCGCCGCTGAGGGATTTGTCATCGGCAGCGCCATCAACACCGTCTAGCGACTCATTGTCGCTGAGATGACTCTCGTCGAGTTCGTCGTCATAGTCGACGCTGCGTTCACGTTTCATAGAGCTCATCGAGAGATCAAGTCCACGCATTTGTTCTTTAAAAGCCTGATTGAGCGCGTGTAGGTCGGGCTCGCCGCCAGCACTGGCAGCTGCAGCGGCGGCGGCGGCAGCTGCACCGGGCATACCAGCTAAGCTGCGTCCGAGTAGCGCTGCAGCGGCGAAGTAGGGCGGGTATGGTAGCGTTGGTGCGCCACTCAGTCCCATGCGTTCTTTGTGCAGTTCGAGTAGACGCTGCTGTAGCAGAATGCGGAATTGGACGGGATCGAAAGGCGTTGAATTGGTGTTCTCGCGACTGGGTATTGGATTGTCGGCACCGGGCTGATTGTGTGGCACCTGTTGCTTAAGACGCATGCGGTGATTGTGGAACCAATTCGTGATGGTGCGCGTAGCGAGACCGAGCTCATTGGCAAGAAATTCGATAGTGGCCACATTTGGATATGGATCGAGTTCGAAAGCTAAACGCAAAGCTTGCTTCTGCTCTTCAGAAAAGAGTACACGTTGCTTTTTGTTCGGTGGTGCGCCGCTAACGGATGAGCCCACCGAGCCGGGACCGGGCGAGCTGGTGTAAAAGTCGTTGGTGTCATTGCTGGATGTATCCGAACTGTTATCCTGTTGGTTGGGCCCGGTTGAACGACGCCGTTTGCTAGCCTCACGTCTTTCGTTCTTAATCACCTGCAGGCGTTCAACATTATTAGCATCGGATAGCCACAATTGCATGCGTATGAACGGTTCACGCCCCTTAATGGAGAGCATGTGCCATGGCTTTGGTTTGCTTAGTAGCTCTGAGACGGAGCCTTGCGATAGTCCAAGCACAGCTTCGCCAAAAATCTTTTGACCGATGTTGTTGGCGAGTAGAGCTTCTTTGATTTTCGTAGTTATCACTTGTGTATCAAGATCCTGAGTAAGCGCCGCCATTTCGTAAACGGTCGGCGACATATGTTGGTGCATGCTGCGCATTGCGTTCGCTTGATGTGGCGAATGTATTGGCATCATCATTGGTTTCTTATCGTTACCAGGTGTGACCGGACCAGCAGCACTGCCAGCGGCACCGGTAGGTGGCAGACTAATCGCGTGCTGTGGTGGCAGTCCAGGTGAAGTCAACAACATGCTTTGGTGGTGTGCCGCTTGTGCGGCGGCAGCGGCCTGTGCTGCTTGTACGGCAGCAGCTGCAGCATGCTGTTGTTGGCTTTGTGCCTGCTGCTGGTGTTGTTGCATTGCGGCAGACATGGCAGCGGCTTGCATTTGTTGCATGATATGCTGGGCTTGTGTTGGTTCCTGAAGTTTCAATTCGTTCATCATTTTTTGCATCGGTAGCGAAGCGCCAATCTTGCTGGCCAATCCTTGCGGTATCTGTGGTGTGCCGCTATAACTGCCAGTGCGCATCAGCTTTTCTGGCGCAATCTTGTATTGGCTGGCCACTAATTTATGTACAGCATTCTCGTCTTCAAGAAACATTTTCATGCGTATGAAGGGTTCACGTCCCTTTTGTGTCAACATATGCCAAGGTTTGGGGCGTGCCAGTAAATCGGAGACAGAGCCCTGCGAGAGACCGAGTACCGATTCACCAAAGAGACGTTGCGAGATGGAGTACTGCGAAAGGGCCTCTTTAACGCGTCGCACTATGTCCTCGGTGTTGAGGTTATTGAACATATCGAATTGCTGTTGCGTGATTGGTGGCAAGACGGCTTTGGTGGGACGCTGCGGTGGTGTGTGGTGTGGTGGGACGGGTGGCTGTGTGATTAACGAGTTCGTGATAGATGCCATGCGCTGCAAGGGGCTTGCGGTGGCGGAGAAGTCATCATTGGCTGTCATCGCGGGCGGCAAAATCGAATTGCTCAATGGGCTGGGTGCAGTGGAATTGCTAACGCCGTGCATGGAAACTGCCGCGCTGCTAGTTGTTGGCGGCACCGGTGTATGGCTACTGCCACTGCTTTCGAGCTTGCGCGTGTGCAACGGCATACCGGCGCTGGAATGGCGATCCAAGCTGTCGGTGTTCGGCAAGTCTTTGGCATTGCCACCGCCGATGTTATTACTACCCGGCATGGTGGCCGTATTGCTGTTGCTGTTACCGCACTGCGAATCCATAGAGTTGCTGGAGTGTTCGATGGCACGCTGTCCATTGACCTTTATAGCGTCTTTGGGATCCTTTGTCAGCGTTAGGTCCTGTGCGCCATTCAACACTTGCTGCTGTAATGCCATCAAGTTGGAGAAGTTGGGGAAGTTCGGCAAGCTACTAGCGGCGGCAGCGGCTGCTGCAGTCTGTTGTTGCTGTTGCTGTTGCAATTTGGCCATTTCACGCTCGTAAGTGAGGCGTAAATTCTCATCGGCTGCCATCATGTTGGGCAGACCACAACCGCTGGGCATGCCACCGGCAGCGCTGAAAAAAGGCGAAAGTAGAAGACTAAAAAAATTAATTGGTTTAGCCAAACATTGCTCTTACAACAGAATAAGTGTTATTAGATTATTGAACTGTGCTGCAGTTGCTTACCTGGGAAAGGCGGCTTCACGTGGCGTACGCATAAGAAACTCCTGATAGATGCGCGCCATTTTATCGGGCGTTAATTCTTGCTCCTGACGCAAGCGATGCTGCTGCTGTTGCGCGGCAGCTACTGCAGCCGCCTCCTGCTCTTGCTTTAATTGGCTGTTGCTCTTATAGAATGGCGAGGTGCATAATGGATGCGGCGACTTGGAATCCTCATTGCTGTGCTGCGACTCGTCATGCGCCGAGCGCCGATGCTGCTCGTGTTGCAGCTGTCGCTGTTCGGCCTCTTTTAATTGCTGTTGCAGTGAGCCCGGTGTGGAATTCTTGATCATGCTCGATGCTTCATTGAGTATGTGTGCGATGCGATCATCGGACATGGAGTCCTCGCGTCCACCATACGGCGGCAAACCAGAATCTGCAAGATCGATAAAACAAGGAGTAATTAAATATTTATACCGTCAGCGTGCGTACATAAGAAATCAACGCAATAGCGTGATCATAAACAGGCCATTAGTCGACATAAAACGCACAGCGCAGTAAAACTAAACAAAAAGTCTCAAAGTAAATTCAACAAAAGGTTCAAACAACCGCTAGTATATGACATATTGATAGGCGCTGCCAATGCTGAGGACCCATGGATTTATTGGTCCATTATCCGTACCAACACTGCGCCGCCACAAGGCGCACGCAAGCAATAAAGCCGCGCTCAGCCGTCGAGCCGACTTGTACGCGTTTTTATGTGTGCTGCCTGCGATTAAGGCGCCAAATGCGCGCCCGTTGCCGCACACCGGTCTGTGGGTCAGCGCATTTATTGTATTTATTGATACGTTGCTGCGTCAAATCAAGTTTGCCCACAATTTGCGGCAGTGCGCAGCAAATATTTCCGTTCAATAGGTGACGCGCGCTGTAGTGCATTAAGATTTAGTGTTGGAATTAAGCCATAAAATGTCAATAACCCACCACTTTCGGTATAATTTATTTTCTTTCATCTGCACTCCTCTAAAATATTGATGCAAATTAAATATCATAAAAAGGCAATTTGCTGCTTCCTGCGATTGATAGTGTGATACGCTGGAAGTGCCTACAGCTAGCTAATAAATGCGCGGGAATAATTTTTGCAATACTTATAGGCTTAACATATTCTTGTTGTTGATTCAGTAAGAAAAGTGATTTGTGAAAAAGTCATCGGGCTAACTTGCAATTATGGGGTTAGGTCAGTCTAGGATTTTTAATAAATTGTAAAAAAAAAAAAATGTATATATATCTTAAAATGCACTTCAAGCACCTTAAAATATTATTAACATTTTAGAATTCAAAAAAAAAAAAAGATAATAAATGATATACGTTCAAATACGTGTTTCATAAAACCTGATAGCAAAAATGTGACTCCTTTTAGGCAATTATTTTGAGCGCCTTAGGCTGCCTTAAATGCTTAAAATATAAATTTCTTATGAAAGACTTACTCATGGCGTGTATATATTATTATTTCATGCGGAAGGCAGAATTTCTGAAACAAGAGTGGAAATTAGCACTGCAAGTGCTGTCAGTCTGTTTCAGCTGGCTGACATGGTATGTTCGATTTGGTACTACATAATGCTTGGCGAAACGAAGACAGCCTATATTTGTTTCTTATTTTGGCTGGAGGCGTGTAGTGCGTATAGCAAATTATAGTAACGCATTGTAACGGTTTCAGCTGTCAAATTTATATTAGCGACAAGTTAGCGTTACGTCATGACCGTCACGAACTGTCAAAGTTTGATAATAATTGTATATACACATAAACGTTTGCTGTAAAATTGCAAAAATTCTAATTTAAATCAAATTTAATTTGCAATTCATTAAAATTAATTGCATTCCGCATGAATGCGCTCTTGTTATTTTTTGTCAAAACTCCAACCCAGCTTTGGCGCTTTAAATAAATATGCTTCATGCTCAAATCGTTTTAAATGACCAATTAACGCAGCAAATCCAAACATTGTACCATAGCTAGCGCATGAAAGACCATATATATGTACTTGTATGTATGTGAGAAAAAAATGCTGCAAATTTCGCGCTATTTTATTTAACATTTGCCGCCACCCAACTGATGCTCAAACTCGCACGCGTATTATCACGATTGACCAACAATGAGCCACAGGCCAGCCACTCGACTGGCCAATCGGCGGTGTAAGCGCGCAGTTTGCGACCTGCAACCGTTATTTTTCCAAATAATATCATCATCGAAAGAAGGCGCAGTCAGGCGGCAATTGCATGTCGTCGATGTGCTCGAATAATATTTGAATTGCCTGCATAGCGCAGCAAGTGCAACAGCAAAAATGTTTGTACCGCGCATTGCTAGCGCTTTGTTGGCATGTTGCGACCAAAGGTTGTGCTTAACGGTAAAAAAAAAAAATAAACCTGGAGAGTCTACATCAAAGCATCAAAACCGATCTATTGACGGCATTGATGAGCGCGCCAAGCTTGAGGTTGGAAAAAAGCGATTTGTCGCTTGTTTTTGGCGTTGATTTCGTGGGGCGCAAGTGCAATTTGCAAACACATGTGCTGCCAACAAGCAAACAATGCATTGCAAAAATAAGCATAATGGATTGCATAAGGGCTACTTGGCATAAAAGGCTGACAAAATTATGGCTGACTGGTCGCTTTTCTGAATTTAATAGGCACAATTCGTACGTTGGAATTGATAAACGTAAATGAGGAGTAAAATGAGCAGTTCGATGAGTAGTAGGAAGAATGACTCTATGAGTAGTTCTTTCAGGAATGAGTGGATTAATAAGTCAAATCTACAATTTAATGAGTATTTAAGTGAGGCATACAATAAGCAGTTCAATGAGAAATAGAATGAGTAGTTCACTAACGAGGTCCATGAAGAGTTCTATGAGGAATTTTTGAGTTTGAATGAAGAGGCATACAATAAATAGTTCAGTCAGGGGAAAAGTGAGTGGGTCAAAGTCAAATCAATAGTTCAATGACTGGTTCAGCGAGACATGCAATGAGTGATTTTGTGAGGAGTAAAATGATGAAGAGTCAGATCAATAGTTCAATGAGTTGGACCTCCATGAAAAGTACAGTGAGTAGTAAAGCAAGTACTTCAATGAGTAGCTTAGTAAGGCATGATATGAGTGGTTCCATGAGAAGAGAAAGGAGAGGTTCAATTGGGAGACACATCAACAGATCAGGGGGTAGTTCAGTAAGGCATGCAATGAGTGTTTTTATGAGGAGTGAAATTATTGGCTCAATGAGGAGTCAGATCAATAGTTCAATGAGTGGGACCTCCATGAAAAGTCCAGTGAGTAGTAAAGCAAGTACTTCAAAGAGTAGCTTAGTAAGGCATGACATGAGTGGTTCCATGAGAGGAGAAAGGATAGGTTCAATTAGGGGTCACATCAACAGCTCAGTAAGGCATGCAATGAGTGTTTTTATGAGGAGTGAAATTATTGGCTCAATGAGGAGTCAGATCAATAGTTCAGTAAGGAGTACAATAAGCAGTTCCATGAGGCATAGACTTAGTAGTTCAAAGAGTAGTGGGATGAGTAGGAGCGCCATGAAAAGTACAGTGAGTAGTAAAGCAAGTAGTTCAATGAGTAGCTTAGTAAGGCATGCAATGAGTGATTTTATGAGGAGTGAAATTATTGGCTCAACGAAGAGTCACACCAATAGTTCAATGAGTAGTTCAGTGAGGAGTAAAAAAGCCAGTTAGGTGAGTACTGTAAAGCGTAGTTTCCTAATAAAGTCTTTATTAACGCGCCAATTTTAATAGCGAAGTGCTGCAAACAGTTTCAAAATGTACTGAAGTTCCAAATTCACATTTCCAAAGCAAGAAAATGTGAATTGCAAGTTTAAAGCTTTAAGTCTGTCTTAGGACATTTTGAAGAGGAAAAATATTCATACTGATCAAACGTTGTTTTGGTGTTATAAGAAAAAAAAAAAAAATCGAAAATATTTTCTTTTCGGCGCATGACAATCCTGCAGTTAAGCCGAAAAGGACAAAAAGCAACGCAAAATAGCAATGCAAACACAAAGATACAGTTGTTGATCGCTAAGTAAGCAGGTTATTTTTTTCTTTACTAGCTGTCAATCAGCAAATGTCATCAATGTTGCACTTGTTAAGCTGTTAGTGAACTTACGTACGAGTATGTATGTAGTTCCTGCACGCCAAAGGACTCTAGTGCCGAGGCGCAACAAATAAAGGCACAACGTCGAAAGACTAGAAGGAATAAAAAGAAAAAACTCCGACGTTTAAAATTAAAAATCAAATGCAATAAAACACGTGGTGCTGTATGGAGCAAAGAGCCACAAAAAAAAACAAAGACAGACAAAATGCAGACGAAAGGAAATCACTCGCTTGAATAATTGAAAATCGCTTTACAACGAGATATAGCTCAAACGATAAACGCTTGCCTGGCCAAAGGAGCAAACACTTGCCTCCACTGACGGCAAGCAATAAATGCACGCGGTTACAGCGTCCGCAACATCAACACTCAGGTAGTGTGGAGCAAGTTGAAGCGTTTAGCAAAACAATAGTGGCTGCAAACCGCTGGCCATAGCACATGAGGCGGAAATCAACACACGAATGACAAATGGCAGCATTTTTTATTTGAAAATTTTTTACAACATAACTGTGGCAAAGCTTTGTTCGAAAAAAAAAAAAAATACCCATTTAGCAATGGCACGGAATTCAATTGAAAGGCATCATTCAAGCGCAAAGTATTGAATGACGATGATGCTTTAATGCCACATGCGCCACATAGAGAGATACGCTGGCACGGAAGTGATGTTGGTTTGCACAAAACTTGGAAGTAGGAGTTTGTTTGGCAAGACCGCAGGCGTTATGGATATGTGCTTTTTTCTACGTTTATGAATTTTTTTCACAATTCTTCCATTCTGGCCGCAAGGGCAAGTGTTAAACTGTGTGTTGACAGTAGTGCTTGATTTGCTAGTTTTTCACTGTTCATAGTGTTTGCGAAACTGATTTGTTGCCTTAGTATTTCGTATTTATTTTTTACTTGCCTCAATATCAGTTATCGGCAAGAGTTGCTGTCCAACAAGCGGCATGTTTAGAAAAAAATCGCAAGCAAAGCACTAGAAAATTGACAAGTAGATTAAGTTGATGAACTTGAAGTTGATCGATAGTGACGAAGTAGAGAAAAAAATTTAAATTTGCCGAAATCAGAAGTGGCAGACAAGTGTGTCAGCTCTTTAGCGCACACATTTTGCAAGTGTGTTTTTGCATTCTCTGCTCGAAGCTGGAAGTAGCAGCTGTGAGTTGCGTTCACAATGTAGGTTAGGTTTTATAGAGGATTTGCAAGCAGTTTAATACAACAGTAGAGATAACGGCAACGCTTTTTCAAGCCAATAAAACTGCTATAGTTACATTGAATCCATCGACAAAGCGACCTGCAGTCAACAGAGAGCTTC